ATGGAAAAGGAAGCTCAAGTCGAAATGTCACTGAATGAAAACACTAACTCAGAACCCCAGGCGCACAGATGACTTTAGCACCCTGCAGTCATACTCCTGCCTCCACACGCTCAGCGTGATTTGATTATTCACTTGACTTACTAGACTTAACACACACTGGATGATTACAGTTACATGTGTTTGTTTATTCTTTTATTAATTTATTTTTATGGATATATGTTTATGATACATAATACATTTGTTTTGGGGAATTGATATGTATAGTCTTGATCATTTTCAATACCCTTTCCCCCTCCCCAGTCTCTCCTTCACCCCTTCCCCAATCCTTTTCTCTACCTTTACAAAGTTTGCTTTTTGTTTCCAATTATCTTCTTTTTATGTTGCTCTTTAATTCATTTGTGTTTGGGTTCTGCAACCCATGTCAGGCCACTGGATATTTAACTTTCTGTGTCTGATTTATTTCACTTAACACTGTGGCCTCAAGATCATCCATTTTTCTGCAAATGGCATAAATACTTTCTTCTTTTTGGCTCAATAAAATTCATATATACATATTTATATTTAATCCACTTTACTGTAGTTGGGCCACTAGTCTGTTCCAGAGCATAGCTATTGTGAATTGTGCTTTAATGACATGGATATTCAACTATCATTATAGTACTATGTCTTTAACCCTTCTGGGAAAATATCTAGGAGTGGTGTAGCTGGGTCAAATGAAGTTTCTACTTTTAGTTTTGAGGAAGCTTCAGGGTGATCACAGTATTTTAAATCCTCACTGCAATGGAGGCAAGTTCCTCTTCCCCACACCCCTCACCATGTGCTCTTCTCACATGCTGACCCTTCATTCCAAGACCATCAATAGAAAGAAGCCACCAAACAGGGCAAGCAATTAAACTGAGGGGAAAGACAGGGAACCAACAACATAAAAATAATTTGAAGGATAAGCCATTATCTGCAGGTTATAACCATCAATGTAAACGATCTCAATTCACCAAGCAAAAAAACAAGACTGGCAGAACGGATTAAAAAGCAAGTTCTGACAAAATGCTACATTCAAGACACAAATTTCACTCAAAAAGAAATTCATAGACTTAAAATCAAAGGATGGAAAGCAGTACTCCATGCAACAGGAGCCCAGAAAAAAGCAGGGGTAGCTATTCTCTTTGGAGATGGTGTGAATTTCATGTGAAGACAGATCAAAAGAGATAAAGAAAGTCACTACATACAGGTTAAGGGAAGACTCCAAGAAGAAGAGATAACAATCATAAATGCAAATGCACCAAATACTGGTGCACCTAACTACATAAAACGAATATTGATTAATATTTATTTATTTATTTAAATTTTGGTTTTTCTTCGGTACCAGGAACCGAACTCATGACCTTGCGCTTGCCAGGCAGGCGCTTTTGCCGCTGAGCTAAATCCCCAGGCCCTAAATATTAATTAATATGAAAAACCAAATGAGCACTAACACAATTGTAATGGGGAACCTTAATATCCCACTGTCACAAATAGACAGATCAAGTAGCCAAAAATCAACAAAGAAATATCATATCTAAACCAAACCTGTGAACAAATGGATTTAGTAGATGTCTACAGAGTGTTCCACCCCACAAAACCAGAATACACATTCTTCTCAGCTGCACATGGGATGTTCTCTAAAACAGACCATATACTAGCCCATAGGACTGCTTAAGTAAATGCAAAGGAATTCAAATTATCCTGTGCATATTATCTGACCACAGTGCAATGAATTTGGAAACCAATGGTGAAGGAAACCACAAAACTCCATAAACACTTGAGAATTAAGTAACATCCTCCTGTACCACCAATGGGTCATGACATTGAAGAAGAAATTTTAAAAAAAATCTACAATTAAAAGATGTTGCTGATACAACATACTGGAACTTATGAGACTCAACGGAAGCAATCCTAAAAGGGAAATTTATAGCAGTGAATTCTCACATCAGAAAAATAGAATGAGCTCAAATAGACAAACTAACGTTGAGCCTCAAACTTCTGGAAAATGAAAAACAAATCAAACCCAAAGTTCATATGAGGAAGGAAATTATAAAATAAGAGAAGAAATTAATGCATTTTGATATTCAGCTGATGTGTAAATAAGGAATGATGGCGAGAATTTAAGACACATCTTTGATTAATGAAAGGTAATAAGATCTGCATTTTCAACGATTCCTGGGTATACTAACAACCAAGCATGCCAAGAGCTCTGAGGAAGAGGAGAGAAAGAACTTGGTAACTACTACTACAGAAATGATTTTAACATTTTTTTCCCAGCAAAATACTTAAAACCATCATATTATAGTGATCCATGTATATTCATGTTTACAGCAGCACAAGTCACAATAGTTAAATCATGGAAGCAGCCTAGATGCCAATCAACCAATGAACTGATGAAGAAAATGTGATATATAACTATATATGAAACAAATGATATATGTAATATTCAGTAAAAATCAGGTTAAATATGACATGGTTACTTTTATGATAAATCCAAAATATAAATAATTTAAAAAGCAAAGTAAAAGAGAGATGATAGTAAAGCAGGAGGTAGACTTCTGGAGATCAGGAAGGAGAGCTGGGGAAGGAGAGGAGAGGGTAAGAATGGAGGGAGGAAAGAGGACCTATATATATATATATATATGCATACATTCTTCAAAATGTATGCAATTATTGTACATCACAGACTAATAAAAGTTTCCCCATTAGTATTTCTTATTCCACTTACCTCCCATCATATTTCTTTTTAAATTTCATTTTGTTTTAAAGAGAAAACAATAAAAACCAATTAACAAGAGTGAATACATAAACAAAATGACACAAAAGAGTGAAAATGATACAGAATTTCAAACAAGGTGATAGGAAATTAACAATGGTTGTTGTATTACATATTATTATCTTCAAATTGGTTACTCAGATAACCAGATATAGGCATGTAAGATTGATCAAAAAATTAAACAATTGTTCCTTTCAATAAGCCAATAGAAATTAGTAGTACAATTATCTTAGCTATCTTGTGTGTATATATATATATATATTTTTTTTTTCCCCTTATTTCCTCATCATATTTAGTATCATGACAGTTATAACTGGGACAAGCATGGCAGCCTGCAGTGTTAGAAAGTGCTCCTTCCTATTTTGTACCTGGTTCAGAGTCCCATGGTAAAAGACAGAGCCCTTTCAGAGGTGAACTGGAAAGCCAGTGCAAGTGTTTGTACTGAGTAAGGTGGTCAGTGACCAGCAGCTGTGTGAACACCACTACTCCTCATCCTGAGGGAAGTAGATGCATGGGCAGGGCAGGATGTAGTGTGGCAGAGGACAGGTGCCTTGGGGCTCTGCCCTTGGTAAAGGACCAGCTCTGCTCCAACCCATACTGTTGCTACTTGGGGTGCAAGCACACTG